CCACGTCCTTCAAGGGTTTCGGGTTTTGTCTCTGGCTTCCTTTTCTTAGGGGAGTAGGGTTGGTACAATAGAAAGTATATATTTCGGATTCTGAATTTGACTTAGCAATGTTGGGATAACTTAGAAACTATGATTTTTTGTTTCAATTGTTTGTAACACAGCTGCATTTTTAAAATGGACTTCACCTGTTTAAATGCAGTTTCAGACCATTTGCAAGACAAAATTATCACAGACAGGTGAGTTATGGCATAAATTCCAAACATAGCAGAAATGGAAAGCATCTGTTAGAGAGTCATGAAAACAATGGACAGAGGCTCTGAAGTCAGCTTTGACACTATTTCCAGGGCATGCCACGGACTCATTTCACCTCAACTAACTCTCAAGCCCCACTCTTCCACTGGAAGAATAGCTGGTACTTAAACCTGTAGGTTTCTGACTATAATTTCTATTTTTGAACACAGCTCAGTCACCGTATATAGCAGCACCAATGCACAAAGTTCTAGATCGAGGAACAGAGGTAACACATGTTCCTGACAGCAAGAAAACAGAGAATCAAATTAAACAGAAGTTATCCCTTGTGAATTCTTTAATCTAAACCACATTATAAAACTAAGTTTGTATTAATAATTCTTATGTGAAATTCTGTATAATATTTATATAATATCCAAACCATGATTTCTTTTTTGTTTCTTTCATTTCTTAAAAAAAAATGTTGTTTCTGGAGCCTGAGGTAATAAAAATATCACAGTACATATTTCTCAGGCAATAAGAGTTTCAAATGGTGATAATGTGAATAAATTAGTTTTTATTTGACTCTCATAGGACAAGTTTCACTGTTAGGTAAGAGTTGTAAATTCGATAAACAACCTGATATATAAACTATAGATAAACTTAATTTAAGAATATGTTTGAAGAACACAAGAGCTAGAAATGCCCCTAAGGCATACAGACATGTCTCCTACAGGCACATGCAGCCTTTGGAAGCACTTGGATCACCAACCTTCCTTCTCAGAACCCAGCACCTAGGAAGTGGCGCATGGCTAAAGGAAGCAAGAAACGGTGGTGATGGATCACTTCCCTGTGTGCCGTTCTGGGCACTGCATTTCTCGCTCAGGGCATAGCAGTTCCACCTCTTGGCACTTACTGCTTTTGCTCTAAGTTGGAGTGAGAATACTGATTTATAAGACTACTAGATTTGTACAATATTTAAGATTCAATAAATTCTAAGTGAAAAAACATACCCAAACACAAGCATGTTTTTTTTTTTCCTAAAATAAGATAATTTTGTTGTGCCAACTTTATGACAGTTATTTCAGCAGAATTTTCACATACATCCTGAGTGACCTGAAGCATACATTCAGGATGTTTTGGGGGGTATACAGATGGCTGAGAATGAAGCACAAATGGGGGTTATGAAGCATAACATCATAGGCTACCCCATAAGAAAATCTCAGAGCCTGGATTTATAAGACCACTGCAAAGCTCAGGAGGAGTCAATCATCTCTCTGCGTGTCACACTTATCTAACCATGATAAAATGTAAGAATTCAAATTAATAAAAGGGAAATTCCACTGCTATTTAAAAAGTTAAAAAGTGCCTTTCAGTGCACACAGACCAGCGGCTCTCAACCTTCCTAACCCTGCAGCCCTTTAACACAGTTCCTCTTACTTATTGTGGTGACTGACGCCCCAACCACAAAATAATCTTCCTTGCTACTTCATAACTGTCACTTTGTTATTCTTACAAATCTGGATACAGATATCTGTGTTTTCTGACAGTCTTAAGTAAGGGTTCTTAGACTCTCGCCCCAAAGGGGTTGTGGCCCACAGATTGAGAACCACTGTATTTTTAAAAATAATTTTATTTTTTTAATATTAATCACAGCTTATTTACTTTGTACCCTAGCCACAGCGCCCTCTCTTATTCCCTCCCAATCCCACCCTCCCTCCCTCATCTCCTCCCTGCCCCTTTCCAAGTCCACTGCTAGGGGAGGTCCTCCTCTCCTTCCATCTGAGACCCTAGCTTATCAGGTATCTTCAGGACTGGCTGCCATGAAAACCACTGTTATAGCGTATAAATGTCAACAAATTTAATAGAAGTCCTTATTCTACATTACACGAAGGAACTTATTTAAGTTGCTTGTATACAAAATCATAAAGGCATCTGAAAGACTCTACTTCGCAGTGTTTCAAAGCAGACACTAAGACTCATAACCAAACCCTCGGCAGAGTGCAGGGAATCATATGAAAGAAGGGAAGTTAGTATGATATGGAAAGGATAGGAGCTCTACAAGGACCAAATATATCTGGGCACAGGGTCTTTTCTGAGACTGACACTCAACCAAGGACCATCTATGGATATAACCTAGAACTTCTGCTCGGATGTGGCCTGTGGTAGCTCAGTAACCAAGTAGTTTTCCAAAGTAAGGGGAACACGGACTATTTCTAACAGGATCTCAAGGGCAGGCTGTTTGACACCCCCCCCCCCCAGGGGAGGAGCAGTCTGTTAGGCCACTTTGCAGCCAGCCCTGAAGATACCTGATAAAACAGGGTCAGATGAAAGGGGAGGAGGTCCTCCCCTATCAGTGGACTTGGAAAGGGGCAGGGAGGAGACCAGGGAGGGAGTGTGGGGTTGGGGAGGGAATGAGGGAGCAGGATACAGCTGGGACACAGAGTTAACAAAATGTAACTAAAAAGAAAAATAAAATAAAAAAAAATGTAACTGATGAAAAAAAAAATCATACTTTTGTGAATTGTGAGTAACAAAATGGATTTCACCAGTTTGTTTTTGTTCCGTTGTCAGTCACAGAGAAATGAGTGATGGAGAAAGTATAGTATATGAGAAGAAATAGTCCTCAATCAAGCTGGTTCTAAGAACTACAGCGAATGCCCTTTTAGGGGTGAACAATTTTTTTTTTCTCACCTCCTGCTTGAGATAGTGCCCTTCAGCCGAAGTCAGACTCACAGGGCAGATAATCAGCAGTTGTGACAGACATGGTATCATTTAAGGAACATTATCCCGTCTCATCCAATTCAACACCACCGGACATTTTAAAAAAAGCATCAAATCCTACCTCAGAACTGGTAAATGGCTGGGACTTCATATATGCGATATCCAGCATCTTTCTTTTCTTTTTCTTTCCTCCTAGTCACAGTATTTTGCTGTTTTCCCTGCCTTGGTGGCTTGCATAGAGTGTTTTCTTAAACTTCCCTGTTCTCACATGACTGATCTATGTAGTGTCTAATGCGCACTGTTGGTGTTCTTCTAAAACTCCCTTTGTTACCTTTACCATTCTTTTGCTTGTTGGTTGTTTTTCCGAGGCAGGGTATCTCTGTGTAGCACTAGCCATCCTAGACTTACTTTGTAGACCATGCTGGCTTCAAACTCACAGAGGTCCACTTGCGTCATCCGCTGAGAGTGCTGGGATTGCAAGCATGTGCCACTGCACCTGACTACCATTCTTAGCAAGCTGAATAAGAGCATTTTCTGGAACATTTTACTGATGATTCTGAAACAACGTTTGCCATTTGGATAGATATCAGAGCACAGAATACATCCCTATAGAGTTGAAAGGGAGGGTTAAGATACCACCACTACCATCAAGGGTCTTAAAAACAAGTGGAGAAGTGAGGTTAGCAGAAGCCTATGACTCCTCACACAGAAGGAAATCGACCTAGATATAAGCTCAGTCCACAGTAAGAAGAAATGAGGTCAATAGGACTGAAGCGAAGCTGACATCTAAACATGGCCACTGAAGAATCAGAAGTCATCTCCGATTGCTGATCACAACCACCCTCTCAAATACTTAGAGACTAAAATCATTCAGATGGTTGTTGCCTCAGTGTATTGTTTTGTTTTTAAAGACTTTGCTTTTTAGGCCACCCTGACCATAAACTCATGATAGCCCAGGCTGGCCTCAAAATTCTGGTCCTCTTAGCTCAGCCTCCCAAGTGGTGATATTATAGGTATTTGCCACCCAGATTTTATTTCAATGTATTTCCTTAACTGGATATACAAGATAGACATACTGAAAAGCTAGAAATCAGTCTGTCAATGATAGGAAAACAACTCAGGAGAAAATTGGCTCTAGCCAGACAGAAATGAAGAAGTCAATGCAGAGAGGAGCAGAATAACTCTCACTTCTAAGGCCTAAGAGAATCATAAAGGATCTGGAAGTCATCACTGAAGTGTCTCTCCCAGCCATGAGTCTGGATTACCTCCATAGCTAAAAAAAAAAAAATCCTGAACAATAACTGCCGGGGTTCTCTCCAGTCCAGATTTCAAGTGGCATTACAAAGCTTCCAGTAAGAAATATAGCATGGCCTTGGCATGAAAACAGACATGTTGATCAAAGGAATCAGTGAAGACCCAGACATAAATCTACACATCTACAGACACCCAACTTTTGATAAAGAAGCCAGAGATACACACTGGGGGGGAAAAAAGGAAGCATCACCAACCAATGGTGCTGGCTGCTCTAACCGATGTCTGCACGTAGGGGCCTGAATCACCCAACAAGTTTTTTAGATACAACATGTATGCTGGTAAGTAGGAACAATTACAAGAAAAGCTACTAGTCAGGAAAATTATTAATGATTCGGATCCTATAATGAGCCTTTCACTCACCATAGGGGTAGAATCACTTGTACCGTGTTCTGTGTGGCAAAAGGTATGCACATCCTTAAAGACTTTTCCTTATTTTCTGTTCATAAAGTTAGAGCTATTTGAAGCCTCCTGAAATGTTTCTTAACTGTGTGAATGTCTTATTTTAAATATTATGCTTACACTATTAAAATACTTTACCTGATTTGTTGGTGAATATGAAGAAAAAATAAAGACAAGACACATTGTACACACTTTAAAATAAGCATGAAAATTAGTTAGGATAAATATTTATTTCCACATAACATTTCTTAGTTTTGAAAAACACAATATCCTAGTCACATTTACATATTACTTAAACATTGCAATAAATTACATTCAAGGTATTCAGTAATTTGACCAGGAATCTGAAATTAGGAGTAAATATATACTACATTTTCATATATTTTATATGATTTCAAAATATTAAGATAGAGATAGCATTAAAATTCACACAAGAACAAAATTACTATAAAAATACTCAGAAATACAGAATTTCATAGGATGATTGTTACACCAGTGATCATGTGAAGTGTAATTCACTGGTCATTTTTTAACAGAACAGGTATTACTCTATGGAGACACTGGGAGACTTCTTTGGGGCTTGACCTGCCAAGTCATAGACAGTGAGGATGTTTTAGATGGAGTGTCAGTATTACAACATACACGAAGGTAGCACATTTGGAACAGTTTTGCATTTTTCTTCACCATTTATAAATACAAACTTTACTAACTGAAAATTTTTCTCATAATTTTGGCTCATGTCTCATTAAAAAAATGACTCCTTAAAGGATTGTAAGGAATTTTTTTTTTGTTCACAAGATATCAAAATATTAAGTGTTAATGTAGGCTTTGTTGTTTTCATCCTCATTAGCTTAATAACAAAGAGGATTTTCCAATTATATGCATTTACATAAAGTAAACATAGTTTATAAAAGCCACAAGGCTCTGAATTTTTCTAAATTTGGACAATGAAAGGTTATAAGGTTGTCAATCATTGTTAATTGTTAGGAATTAAGAGCCCTATGAGATTTTATTTTTATTATCTCACATTTATCTGAAGTCAAATGAAATTTATGCTCAGTAGTACTCAGAAATCCACAACTTCCTTCCCATTTCAATAAGCTGAATAAAGTTGGGCTGTTGCGTATGGACTGAAATATTTACATAACCTTCTCTAACAAAATCTGAAATTTTAGTTCAAAGACTGTGTTTCCACAACATGCACTTAGTTAAAATGTGGAAAGGAGCTTTGCAAAAGAACAGTTACATTTGGAGACCTGTTGGTCTAACATGACAACCTGATATAGGGACCCAAATGAAACAGCACGTGACCATTATCAGCGGAACAGCTGTACAGGGATGGCATTTCACATACAATGATTCACCATGTGGCATTCCGTAAGTATGTATGTCACAGGTATATTTGAGAAGTAACTGTTGTCAATGGGAGAGAAGTTCAATAGCACATCTCTGGTAAAAATTTGAAATGAAAAACCCCACACAACTCTTCAAATATCTCTGAAGCATTTCATATAAGTCTAGTACTTGACTGTGTGGTTACAACTTGAATTCTAAGCAAACACTACTTGACTCTTTGCAGTATGTCTTTTAAGAAGGTATAAACAGGTCTCTTTCTGAAATGACTTGAAGTATTAGTTAGATATTAAGTATTAAATGTATGATATTGAGTCAAGGAAATACATAAATACAATTATTAAAAATGCTTTCAGAGTAACTCTTTGACTTGGGCCTTTCTAGACAAGACACTAATTCTATGCTATAAAAAATAAAAAGTAAGACTACCTTTCAAAATTCTTCTGAATAAAATTATCAGGCATCTTCAGGTTACTAAGGTAGGAAAACACAAACTAGGCAAATATGACTTATTTTTTAAAGAATGCTTTGCTCTCAGAACGCTGCCAACAAGAATCCTGTGTTGGCAAATGTCTTACAGCAGTAACACGGGAGAGTCTTGCCCTAGCTATTGGACCTGCTCACAAGGGTGTCACACTGCTCAGAGATTAAACACAGAAGTGAAACAGCGGTTGTACTACTTACAGAATGAAGGTAGATTTGGGATGGGAGAGGATTTACAATATATGATCAAAGCAGTTTTATTAATAATTGTGACACTCTTCTCATATGTATGTAAAAAATAAATTGAAGATCAAGTCATAGACAAGTCTCCCTGTCAACACCTTTCCCTGAGTCAGCTTTCTTCTCTTTTCGGCTTTCAGTGCTAAAGGGGAAGAAAAAAAAAATAAGAGGAGAAAATCACTACTGCAATCCAGCTTGGTCACTGTGAGATTTGCTTTTTTTCAGACACCAAACATGTCAACCCCCAAGAAATACAAGAGCTCTCAGGCATTGCTCTCTCATGCTGCAATGCAGATAGACAGCAGCAACTATATCCTCTGCACTCTGTGAGCTAGAAATCAAGAACTGCAGAGAGGGGGAAATTCAAAAATAGACATTGAGAAACAAAACAAAACAAAAAAAACAGACATTTCCAAAGAGTTCTAAAAGCATGCAAGATCAATACATGGTCCTCATCTGGGCAAATGAATCGATAGTTGGTGAAAATGTCAGTCATGCCCTGCACTATGGTAGCATACGACTAGAAAATGACAAAACAAGGTGCTTCGGGGAGGGACTTCCAGGCTCTGCTGAAAATGGCTTTTCCTTTGTTCCTGGACTGGACCAGGGTCTCTGGTAAAAGTGATGCCTTGGTAGGTAGGGCAGACACACCTTTCTTAGTTTCAGAAAATGGCTCCCTGCTCTCCACACACCTGTGCTGGGTTCACAGAAAAACCCCCAGACCACACAGCAGAGGAGTGATGCTTCATTTCCTTCTAGAATACATTCACACCTCAAAAGCTTCTGTTTAACCTCATCTTCCAGCCAACTTAAAAAAAAAAATGATCATGCTGATAACGTGGCTACCATTTTGTTGAGTTATCTGCACTCTTTCTAGCCATTATGTACTTCTATTATCACATGGAAGCTTCAATGGACAGTGAGAATGAAGTGTTCAAACTAGTGAAGCTTAGACTGAAAGGGTATGCTTCCAGAAGGCAACAGGCTCCCTCCTCCAGTACTTCTGGTGCCTGGCAAAGGCCTATGCACTGGAGGTCTCTTTCTTCTTCCGCATTTGTGGCACAAAGGACAACCCAGACCCAGCCTCTGAGGCCCTGAACTAGATGAATCAACACACTTTTTACTTGTTAACTTCAGCCCTTAATATTCATTTACGAAATAGCTGAGGTGGTATACTCTTGGTTTTACAACCGTTCTCTGGGTGATAAAGGAACCCAAGTTATGTTTTCTATGGGTTTTCCTATGCATCTTTCTTAGTGGTCAATAACTTAAACATATTCTAAGAGTGTGTTTTTAAAATTGTTTTTTTTTTTTTTTCTCCAATTCAAGCTAGAAACAGCCCTTCTCAGTTGTCACCACCACCCGGCACCATCAGGTAAGAAGTGCTGGAGCTTCTGCCATCTGTGGCACGCTGCCAGCGCTGAGAGCTGGTGTGAGCGAGTGTCTATGGCACCCGGGTTTATGCCTGCCACGCTTCTCAGCACATACTCCTTGCAGGTCAGAGCAAAGCAACTTTTTTCCCTTTTCTTTTCTCCTTCCATGAGAAGAGATGACAGTGCGCACATGATGTGTTGAGTGCCTTAATTCTGTATTTTTAACTTCTCTATCTGTATGACTCACTTTTTTTTTTCTACTTTAAGTTCCTTTTTATAAGACAAATGTCTGCTATTCTGCTTTCCAAATTAACTTGTCCCTGGACTTCACCTGTGCCCACCAATTCTGTCAAACAAAGCCAATGAAGCCCAACAGAATGAGTGGCGGTACAGGTGGAATACATGTTTCCTCCTCCCAGAGCTTAGGTGAGGAGTACAACCTACAGCCAGTGATTTAAGTCTCTCTGAGACTGGTTGTCTTCAACACTAAATTGAGCTTTGGACCAGATGGCCTCTGAGTCTTCCTGTAACTCACTCCTAGAATACTGATTCTGGCATGCCTGTTTCTAATAGACTCTGTCTTTTAAAAAATGGAATGCTGTATCCTATCTACAAGAGACTGGGGGTGGGGAGGAGATACAATGGCCTCTTTCTCTAGCACAATTTCTCTGTACACAACCCTTTGGAACTTAGGTATCACTTAACCTCTTGATAAAAACGTGATTTCTCAATGGTCAGTGGCACCATTTGTCACTGACAAATGAGGAGAGGAAGAGATGGAGGGAGGGAGAGATTGAGAGAGGGAGAGAGAGAGAGAGAGAGAGACTTAGAACATCAACTTGGTCCACATATGAACTTCCTCCCGATCTACTTTGATATACTGGTATTTTATATCATATAATCATAGCTTTCTAAACATGACTATTTTATAACCATTAACATTAATTTGGGGAGGCAGAAATATTATAACCAGCTTAATATTTCTATGAAAATTCTTTTTTTTTTTTGGTTTTTTAACCATATGATGCTCTCTCTCTCTCTCTCTCTCTCTGGATTTCTCATTCTATTTTTTTAGATGTTAATCAACTTTAAGCTTTCAATTAAACAAATATATCACACATGTATTATTTCTTATTGTAATAAACATATATTGGCAGGTCTTCTAGGAATATACAATAGATAAAACTGTCCGTGTTGGTCAGTCTTGAAAACATACACACGATTAACATTATATAAACTGACTAAGTTGTATTTATGTATTTAGAAATATTTGCATGTATGTATACATATGTGTATATAATAATAATTAATGGAAAAGAGGCCATAAATTTGGAAGAGAGCAAGAGGTATATGAGGGTTTGCAAAGGATAGGGAAGGGGAAACAATATAATCATATTACAGTCTCAAAAATACAAAGTAACTAAAAACATAAAAATAAAAAAGTTACATTTCAAGAAAGAACAAAAAGGACCACTATTGACATGCTCCTGAAAAATGTATGAGAAAGTTTCCTTCACAGTGCTCAAATATTGTTCTGACCAATATATGCCAAGAAATAGCGGAAAGGCTCAGGCCTAAGAAATCACAGCAAAGGAGACTCTGTGATAGGAGGAAGATGTAGGGTACAGAGGAGGGGTGGAAAGAGAAGCAGGAAACTGGTTTGGCAGGTCAGCCTTGCTCCAGTACATGGCCCCATACCCAGGAACTTTATGACAGCACAAACAGGTCAATGGCTTAATAAGCAAAGTTGGGGTGTAGTGAGGGGGAGGTGTATCAAGTAGGAGTTGGGAGAAGGTTCGGGATGAAGATGATCAAAATACATTGTATGAAAGCTCAAAGAATTCATAAAAATATTTTTATGAAATCTTAATGCATTTTATAAAGCACTGTAGTTATTTATAATTATGGACTAAAGGTGGTTTTTGAAAGACCAATTTTTATCAAACTATATAAGAAGCTGTGGAGGCAATTCATTAAACATGGAGAAGTCGAGCCAGCATCTACATAGAGCCATCATGCTTATGTTCTAGCGTCTTTGGTTCAGGAAGGTACTTTGAGTGCTACCAAAAGAGAAATGTAAACACCAATCCAGGCACAAGCTCTTTAATTTGCAATGGTGTCCTGCTTGCAAGATATGCTAGGGCATGGTGGCACAAAGCCAGGAATAACACCCAACATAGAACTTATGCCCAACATTGCTTGGGTGACCAAGAACCTGAGACTGGATAGCCCAGGGACCTAACCTAAAGCCAAACACTACTGTGCAAAAATAAAACAAACAAAACAAAACATGTAGTAATAAATTATTCCTAATGACATACTACTATACTGATAGATCAGTGTCTTGTTCAGCCATCTTCAGAGAAGCTTTCCCCTGCAGCAGATGGGAACAAACGCAGAGACCCACAGCCAGGCATTATGCAGAGTGAGAAAGCTTTAGAACACTAAGTTCTAAACAGGATGTCCCTATCAACCGCCTCATCTCAGGGCTGAAGAGACCCTATAGAAGAGGAGGCAGAAAGAGTGTAAGAGCCAGAAGGGGTGAAGGACACTGAGGAAGCAAAGCCCTCTAAGTAAATCAACGTGGCCAAAGCTCATGTAAACTCACAGAGACTGAAGCAGTATGCACAGGGCCTGCATGGATCTTTTTCCAGTTCCAATGGTTAGTTTTTGTTTTATCTTGTTATAATTAATTATTATATAATTATATATCATATTATAATCATTTATTATTGAAAGAAGAAACCATGGGGGACTACCGAGTAAAACCCTATCTCAAAAGCAAAAGAAACAAATGTTTTATAAAAAGCAAGACAAGGGACTGATGAGTTAGTGCTGTGGCAAAGAGCATCACAGTACATGCTGTTCTTGCAAAGGACCCAAGTTGGGTTGCCAGCACCCACAAAAGGTGGCTCACAATCACTTGTAACTCTAGTTCCAGGGGTTCTAACTCCCTCTTCTGGCCTCCTTGGGCACCTGCACTCATAAGCATATACCTACACATATACACAATTAAAAACCAAACAAATTAAGCCAGGCATAGTAACACATACCTTTGAGTCTAGTGCTAAGGAGTCAAAGGCAGACATCTCTCTGCGAGTTCTAGGCCAGCCTGGTCGACATATCAGTTTCAGGCTAGTGAGAACTATATAGTGAGACCCTATCTCGATGATGATGATGGTAGTGATGGTGATGATGATGATAAACCTTTTAAAAATCAAAACAAAAACTTGGAAATAGTCTAAGTGTATAACAGCAGGAAATGAAAAAATTACATTGAAGCTAGATGGTATATAATTTTATAAAGTTAAATATGGTTTGTAAAATATTAACACACAGTGTTAATGAAAAAATATGAAATGACATGTATACTATGAAATCAACTTTGCAAACATATATATATATATATATATACATATATATATATATATATATAGAGAGAGAGAGAGAGAGAGAGAGAGAGAAGGGGGAATCTTTGGAATTATTAACAGCAGTTGACACATAGGAATCACACACAAGCAACATAATTCAAGGCTGAACAGTCATAGAACAGCCAGGCTACCCGCTGCCTAACCTGTTCAGAGCAAAGGTACAAATTCTAACCACCACTTGCTGCAATATTCTATAGTAGGAGCTTGTGCAGGATACAAATGAACTCACAGACTACTTAGTGTGATCATAAAGGTATCTTATTGGATTCACTGTTTTAAAACAATCATTCTTGGACATACTTGCATACTTAGCAAGTAGGAATAGAATTCTCCTAATGATTTTAGTTTAGGTCCATTAAGTCTCTTCCAGATCAGGATAAGCTTTCTGTTTGTTTGTTTTGTTTTGTTTTGTTTTTTTTTTTTTATAGGTTCCTAGGAGCATCTTATCACTTTTAACTTGCTTGAAAGAGTACTTACAATGCTTAGTGCCTACATCTACTTTTTATCTCACATTTTTCTTGGACTTTAAGTGTTGAGTTTAAAAGTTAGTTTTTACAATTTTATAGTTTCCGTATAGTTTATGTCTACTTTATAGTTATGTATAGTTTATGTATTGTGTTATCAAGCAAGGCAATCAAAAGATGAAATAAAATTTAAGTCCATTTTAAAGAGCAGCTATAGCAGAGCTTCTCACAAGTGTGCATAGCACCGTTCTATCGGGATCAAAGCACATGTCCTCAAGAAGAGCTGGAGTCACGGTCAGCTCCCAGCTTCTACTTCCAACCAGAAAACCAAATGTGAGCAGAACAACTGCTCTTCTAAGCCTCATTTACACAGGTAAGTTAGCATCAAAGACAGACTATAGAAAGGAGTAAGATGGAAAATAAATGGTGGCAGAGGCATGAACCAAAGGCTGCACAGAGCCAGCTTGGCTCACAAGAGATATGGGTCTCAGTAACCTCATTGATGTTTGTTTTTTTTTTTTTTTTGTTTTTTTTTTTTCAGTTTTGACAAGTGTGTTGTCTGCCGTCCAGCAAACGGGCAGAAATCCTTTGTCCTATGTCACTGTCTCCGACAGATGCTAAGGGAAAGCAGTAGTTTTGGAAGGGTACCACTGCTATTCACACTGACTGTTCTAGAATTTCTCAAAGCCACTTCCTTTCTTTCAGAGTTTGTACTGCTGCGAAAATGAAAGACACCACAATATCACATCAATAGTGAACAAGAGTTCTAAGCATAGTGGCACATGTAGGAGCATCAATGGCTCAAGACAAACATGGGCTACATCGTGACACTTTATCTCAAACACACACACACACACACACACACACATACACATACACACACACATACACACAGAGAGAGAGAGAGAACGCTAGATTGAACTTTCATTCCATAATGGTTTGAAGTTAGGTCAGTGTAAATATATGTTAAAATAACAACAACAACAACAAAACACATGATTATGCCAGTTTTTGAATAATGGTCAACTTAGAACTAAACTTTTATAACAGGTTTTGCAGTAAAGGGCGCCATTTGAATTTAATACTTACTTTAAAGCGCACAGAAAGCATCACATAATAAAACCTTTACTCAACACAAAGTAAAAATAAAAGGAGTTTGGCTTATGGACCCACGTAATGCAGAATGAAAAATATCTGTACATTTGTCTCAAATTTCTCACTCAGCTCCCATGACTGGCATTTTATTTTGAGTCCATAAACGTAGATTTCTTATTTTAAAATAAATTGCAGAAATGCCAAATTTCACTACGGCAGAGTCACATGGGCTCAAGTTGCTCTCCTTGTTACTCTGATTCTTCTTTAGAAGTTCTGACAAAACACAAAATGACTGCAAGGATGACTCAAAGGGGCTATAACAAGGATTTTGAAGAAAGAAAGATAAATCGTGTTTTAGAAAGTGAACATTACTGGTGCTTAACCCGAGCAATGGAATACACGCTGGTTTTGAAGCCTGTTCAAAGACATCATACAGAAATCTTAGAAATAGTCTACTAAGCAGCTCATATGAGCCTCCTTTGGTCTAAGTTTTGGAGAGATTTAGAGAAGGCAAGCAGAGGAATGTAGACAAGCAGTAAAAGAGGAAAAGGAGGGAGAGAAGGAGGAAAGACCACCCCAGCTTCTGGGACGAAGATGGTCGCCGTCTTGTTTACTCTGCTTACTACAGAGATAACATTGAAGCAGCATGCCATTTTGGGGTGACAAAAACTAGCAGTAAGAGGTTTCCCCCCCCAAGACTACTTTGGTCTCTCTCTCTCTAGCTATGGCTTCACTTGTGTCTCATACAGCTTGCAAGTTTTGATGTGCCACAGCAACATGGATGGACGCTCCCAGACTTGCAATTCTCAAAATTAAAGGACAAATTTTCTTTTCCCAATCTAGACATTTGATGCCATTGCTTGCTAAATATGGTTCTACAAAATCTGTTGTTTTATATGTAATGCATTTGTATATGTTAAGGGAAAATATGTTTCCTCATCTTTCAGAGCCCCTTAAAGAACCAAGTGGATATAGAACACCATAAATATCAGGCTGGCATTGAATTGGAGTTCAAGACTCTCCAGGTCTTTTGCCTCCCCAAAACTCACACAGATGACACAGGCTGACCAGGTTTCCAGAAGACACCATTTAACATAAGGAAATGCAACCAGGGAATAGGTTTGAGGGAAAAGGTCTTACCTTTGGGGAATCAGCTTCTAGAGTGATTAGGAAGGGGAGCTTATGACAAAAGAATGTAATATAAAAATCAAGTAGAAAAAGTTAATGTAAGGTTATAAAAATAAATAAATCATTATCACACCATCCCCAAATATCAACTATTTTCTTATGAGAAGCAAAACTAGCATAACACAGGATTTCCTGCTTCTTCCGATCAGCATCTAGGGTGGCTGCATGGTATGGTCCAAACTCATTTATAAATCTTAGAAAATTCAGCTGAAATACCAGCATTCTGTTACTGTTTAAAGGCACATCCTTCCTGCCTTCAGCATGCAAAGCTGCAGGACTGCTCTCATGTCTACAGACAGATGCGAATGGATGGATGTTCAGGGTAAGGCTAGGAAAGTTTGCTGGGGACTTGAAAATAGGGAGCTAGAAATCAACTACATGTACAACGGCCATTACATGTGCCAAATGACTGTCGCAAAAGGAAATAGGGAGGAGGGAATGTGCTCCAGCACCCACTGTGGTTCTAGGGAATGTGTGATGAGGAAGTACATGAAACCACACAAAGAAAGAGTGGGCCAAAATAAATGTTCAAAATTGTCATGCACTGGGGTCATTAAGAGCTCCATTTCCCCCCCACTGTGGTAGTTTTGCAGTGAGCTTTAATTTGAAAGGAAGATGTTTGTAAAAATTATCATTCTTTCTTTAGAAACAATTTCTGAAATATTTTAAGTCTAAATTTGATTAAATTCAATAGTATCTTTTTCTAGAGAATTTATACCATAAAATCATTAGCATTAAGATAACCTTATTATTTCAAAATTCAAACCTTTTAGAAGGAAAGCGTGACTCCTTTTCTTTTGAGTTTTCTGCAGTAATCAGAAGATTCCCCCACATGGCAGTTTTCGACATTTCATCAGAAATATTGATCACAGATGGGTCATCTCTAGATACAATTTATCCAAAATGAAATAATATACAATAAGCAAATATTGAGGCATTCAGGTAGAGAAGATGAACATAAGACAATTTTATAACTATGGAAACATTTTATCTAAAAATTTAATAGTAAGGCACATACAACATAAAGTTTTCATCCCAGACATTTTAAAATGCACAATTAAAAGTTATTAAAAGCATTCACAATTTATATCTCACTATACCATCTGTCTCCAGAATCCTTTCACTTTAGGTTCGTGGACAACATTTTCTATTGTCTCCTGTTTAAAAAGTGAACAGTATCTAGTGAACTTAGGTGATTTTACACCTTTTATGATGACTTCTGTTGGTAGAAGTGAAATTTCATACCCATTAAACAACAGCTCTCTACTTCCTCCATCCCAGCCCCTGGAACCACTACTGCGTGTTCTGTCTCTATTGTTTCGACTATTTTAAGGGCCTCATGGAAAATGGAGCACACAGTGTTTGGTGTGCTTTGTGTCACTGGCTTATTCCATTTGAAAAATGTTCTTATGGTTCAAGATGTTTTAACATAAGCTGAAATCTCTCTCCCTTTGAGGCTGAATAGTATTTCATTTTGTTTATTATAACAGCACATTTTTAATAATAAAAAATGGAGAAACACATCAAAGTCTCTAATATTAAAAAGGATCTGAAAATCTAAAGAGAGGATTCTAGTTGTGCAGATACAGATTTGGGCTACAGTTCTCTGAATTCATCGCAGATCACGCAGACTAAGCAAAACTTCTCTACTTCCTCCATCCCAGCCCCTGGAACCACTACTGCATGTTCTGTCTCTATTGTTTGCTTAGTCTCTTGCCTCTGTCATAGACAACATGGCGGATTCCTTGCCTCATCTCCTTCATCCTTGCTGCCACTGGCTCAGATGCCCTAAATTCTCTGTGCCTTCCTCTCCTTCTGACCTCATCCCCTGGTACCTTACGTCTGCTCACCATTCTGCAGCTACATTCCAATAGCTTCCAGACTGTTCTTGGACAACCGAGAAAAGCTCAAGCTTCCTAACGCTGAGACCCATTAAGACACTTCCTCAGGTTGTGGTGAGTCACAACCATTGAATTATTTCATTGCTACTTTATGTAATTTGCTATTGCTATGAATCAGGAATGTAAATATCTGATCTATAGGATGCCTGATATTCAGTCTCTAAAAAAGAGTCACAACCCACAGGTTGAGTACCTCTGGTCTAGATCTTCCCACTGCCTATAAAGTTTCTCCATATGTCTAAATTTCTCTGCTTTTAAGGTTGAACAGTATTTTATTTTGTTTATATATAACAAGTATTATATATAATATCTATTTGAGAAGCATAAAGCAACTCCCTTAATTTTTAAAAAGTATCTGAAAAATCTAAGAAAATATCCTACTTTTATAGATACAGATTTGGGCTACAGTTTTCTTAATTTATCCTAGATCTCAGAGTTTTGCATCCAATTCTGTTCTGATTTCACCCGCTCATGCAGGCCAATGCCGCCACTATTTTAAATTGCTGTTCTGTACCCTTAAATCTCCCAAATTGTTTACTTTGTTTTTCTTTTTTGCCATCTCTAACCCTCTATTAGCTGTTAATATTCTTATGCTCTGTCCTTATCCTCTATTCCACTTGAATACAATGCATGTAACAGCAGGATTCTAGGTTACTGGTTAATAGCTGCTTCTTTCAAAAGTCAGCCAAAGCTGGACACATGGCATTTACTCAGTGATTATTTGTTTGAAAATGAGTGCAGCCTACTTACTTAGTAATTATTTGTTTGAAAGTGAATGCAGCCTGTGCCTTTGGCAGAACATTTCCCATATAGCTGGGGAACCTACAGTATTAGGTTCCATGCTTGTGGTTGGCTGCTTTGTTTACTTTTGTTCTGTTTATATATTTTAATTTCACAACAATTATAGAAAACATGCATGATGTTTCAAAACCTCCCAAGAGTTACAAACATAATCAAATGGTGGTGTAAACTAATCACAGACCAAGTGAAAACTTTCATAACTAAGAAAATAGCACTCATTTTTTTTTTTAGTACATATAGGTAGCACACTTTACTGTGAAAAAAAAATCACATTAACAAAATCCATAGCTGGTCTCATATCAACTATATTGGTAGCTGTTTAAAAGAGGAGAACAAATCCAGCATTTAGGGTGAACAAAGCACCAGGACTCAGCCCTGCTCAGTTTGAAGGTGTGTCCTTAATTCCTCTAGCCTTCTTGAAAATGGAACTTCCTAGAAACTCAGAACAGAAGATCAACTAATTTCCAAGAATGCATCAAATGAATAACTAGTATATCATGATATTATAAGACAGTCTTATAAACAAAAAGATTTAGAAATTTCTGCATAAAGCAAAATTAAGATTAAAAGGGGCAGGACTATTTTTATTATTTCATAAGCAAATAATATGAATTATGAATTTACAAACTAGCATGCAGTTTGGATGATTTCTAAACTTCTTTAACTACGAAGTCCTTTGGGAATGGCATGTGATAAAACTAGTTCTCATAGAATTTGCTTGATAATATTCAGATTCACCTCAATCAAGACTATTTTAAATGATAAAGGGAAAAGAAGAGCTAAAGTACGTTCACAAGTTGTTTCTACTTTTAAGTTACAGGTGATTCCATCTAACCTTTTGGGGGAGAATTTGGTGTTAGAGTAAGACTCTGATATCCAATAGATTCTTTACCACTTTGTCTTTTAAATATCATGGCACATCTCTCCCTCTAATAGATTTCATCTTTATTTACTTACTGGAATACCCTAAGAACTTTAAGACAATACTCTTGAGTACCAAATAGTACTTAAAACAGACTTTAGGAGAAAATTATTCAAACTAAACTTTTTGAAAGATGGAAGGAGATAGAGTGGAGAAGAGAGAGGAAAGGAACAGAAAAGAAAGGGAAGAAATTTAGAATAGTGAGAGAGAAAGAGGGAAAATTGTTTATAAAATTTTCATTGTAGCTAATGAAACTTTGTTTTTGGTGTCTTTGTGGGCGAAAAGATTGGTGTATGTTTTCAGAACTACATAATTATTTTCTTAAATGACAGATATGACTGATTTCTTTAACTCAAAAATTGAGTAATCATTTTGGGGGTGACTTTTGTTAGGCGCGAATCCTCCTAATTTTCCCCACGATCACTTTACAGGTATTGACCTCTTTTATGCTAAAAGTGGATGGTGACTTGTCTTCTGGTGGTAACTTCTGAGAACATGAAACTGATTTTTCATATAAATTTGAAAAAATACATGCCACACCCCATTCTAAGTATTTTGCTATACAATGAGTGCTGGCGGAACCTATCATTCATTTCTCGATCTAGGATTATTTACTTTTGTTTTGTTTTAACACAACTTCAATAACTTCCACATGGTATGAAATTCATAAACTGAGTATAACCAGCACATTCTGTAACTCTCACTGATGTGTTTTGAACATATATTTGAACATATATTTACCTGTAGTGTCCCTCTAGTGGGAGTTGTACTGTGCCCTCATCTTCCATGGCTAGCATACTTTGTTCTTCCTGGAATGACAAATGTAACATATATAAAGTGAACCTGATGGGTCTCCATTTTACATTAAAGAAGAAACACAGATTAATGTTTTATTATCTCATTAACCCCAGGACCTTCCACTTTGTTTGTACTTATTAATGCTAGCACAGGTCCTTTCAATAAAGCCTCAACTACTAAGAAGAGAAGTAATTAATGAAAAATCTCATAACACGAAGTAATTTAAATGCTAACAACAATCTCCTTCATGTCATCCAATTCAAAACATAGTTAATTTTCAAGATATTAAAAATAGCCTAAATTTCACAAGAATATGGGTAATGCAATGAGAGTCTGGTTTTTATAAGCTGAATTTATATTCTCCAAATGGTCTACTAGGAGGAGGTGAGGGTTACACATTCAGAGCACAGATTCTCAAACTCTACTTTAGAGTCACCTGCAGGTTGTGCTAAAAAATATCATTGGTCCTAGAGGTTCTTATTCTGTAGGTCTGAACTAGAGGGGGGACACAAAGTTACATTTCTAACAAATTCTGGGTGATATTGATTATACTGGCCAGGGACTGCATTTTGAGAATTGCTCTAGCAACTTGGAAAAGACAGAAGGTCCCTTTTTTATATGCATCAAAACACAAATTTAGGGCTGGAGGATAGGGTTCAGTTGGCAGAGTACCTGTTAAACTTGCAGACCTGAGTTCAGATCCCCAGAAATTATCAACAAGCGAAGATGCACCAAAAGTCTGGAACCCAGTGCTGAGTGGTGGAGAAAAGCCACTCCCTGGGGCTCTTTTTCCAGCTAGCCTACGCAACAGGTGAGTGCCAGGATCCAAGATACACACCACTCTCAAAGATTAAGATAGAAAGGGATGGAGGACTCCTGATATTGACCATGCATCTGCAAATATATATATATGACCTTCCACAGAGAGAGAGATTTGTGACTTGCCGTGATGAAGTAATAAACAAAACACCCTTCAGTTAGATATATATGAAGTTTTTGTTTCATGCTGCAGATTTCTTCTTACAAGAGCAATAATATTCCATCCTTCTCTAAAAGATGAAAACAATATATTCATGTATATAGTTCCCTCATTTATAAGATTATTTTAGTCTATAAACTTTTGAAATGTAGATAAGCTTATGGCTCTTATATAGAAATGTCCTATTTATTTTTCAATGTACCATTAAATTTTTTCATGCAGTATATATGTTTAGATATGTTATATGTAGATTGTATGTGTGTGTACACACACACACTTATTTAAGGCATTCATTTTCAAATGGGTCAGCAGGCCTTAGCCCAGTTCAATTAATTATTTAGGACCATTTAAAAATGTTAGAGTTATTGGCTCAGACTCCAGGAATAGAGTTCTGTTCCTTCGAATAGATAATATAATAGATAACGCAATAGATGTGCAGACCCACATTTTGAGAATTGCTTTAGCAACTTGGAAAAAGACAGAAGATTCCTTTTTATATGCATCAAAACACAAATTTAGATCTTGGAGTACAGGTGATCCTGCCCAACTGATGGGGACTGAAGGTCATCCTTTATCCCTTTCCTTAGCTTAGCGTAAGTAATGTGGCCAAACTAAGTTTAACCAGATTAACTTAAACCAGCTGCCTAAACTCAGTGTAGTTCAATTGACCTAGTTGAATTAGTTTAGTAGTTGCTAAAGAGACGTTTTTGGCTACTGCCATTATTCCCGCTGGCAAAATGTTGACTGCCGTACTTATTATGATTTTAGTTGACAAAGTGTTCTCGCACACGTCTTCAGTTGGTTAACTGAAGGCATGAAGGCAGGCCTCAGCACACACCTGCAGCACTCTCCCACCCTGCTGATGAAGGCAGGCCCCCATCCCACAGCACTGATGCTGTGTGCATGTGGAATAACGTGAGGGAGACTACGTGAGTTCTGCTGTTAACTTTACTGATATGTTCCCCTCAGACACATCATTGCATATTACACTCTGTGGGACAGATTATATATCTTCTTGTGTCCAAGAAAACGGTTCTATTCACTCACTGTGCTGTTTTATAAAGAAGAATTTCTTTCTTTCTTAAAGATTTATTTCTTTTATATATATGAGTGCTCTATTTTCATGCACACCAAAAGTGTGGCAGCAGATTCCATTACAGATGGTTGTGAGCCACCATGTGGGTGCTGGGAATTGAACTCAAGACCTCTGGAAGACCAGCCAGTGCTCTTAACAGCTGAGCCATCTCACCAGCCTGGAATTTGATTCTTTCAAAGCCCATTTATGACCTTGTCCTTGGCGGTGTTATTAGAACTGAATGAAGAGTAGTGCATGAGTTACTTTCTTACTTCTGTGACCAAGTATTGACAAGAGTCAGTTTAAGAGGGGTGATTGAGGCTGGCAGTTTAACAGTAGGGAAGGCACGGTGGCAGGAATGTGAGGCACCTGGATGGCTTCAGGAAGCAGAGGGCAAACCAAAGTGAGAACCAGCTATGACATAAAACCTGAAGGTCTCCCAGTGACAGTTTCCTCTAGTGAGTGTCGACTGCACTCAGGTTCCACAGCGTCCTAAAACGTGTCACTGTCTGGGAAATAAGTGTTCAAACACACAAGTCTATAGAAGACATTTCACAACTGGAGTAGACCATTCTGCTCTAATCTCCCATGGGGTCAAGGTCATCTTTAGACTTAAGGAAATATCTTAACCGTGAACCCCTGTACAACCAAAAAAAGACGAAATACTTTCAGTTTACAAAGGTACAGAGTAACCATCCCCATTTCTAAATGGAAGAGTTGGGACACAGAAAGGAAAGGTCATACGAAAGCAAAACTAAAACTCAGGAGGACAAACACCAAATCCTATAGCTTCATGTCCAGCATCAGAAGCTCATGATGGAATCACCTGTGGTCCAAAGGGCTTGGGTTGGCCCATCTCTCCTGTTTTACCAGCTGTGCCACACATGGCCTCTCTCTTTCCCAGCTTTACTCCATGCAGCAGGTTTTCCTTTGTAATAACCCTGCAGTTCTGGCATTGCCCACAAGATGTTTTCTTTGTAACCCAATCTTCAACTTCCCAGCCTCATACATTTCCTTTTCAGGGCCTCCTTTCAGGAGTTCCAGACCTAGGATACATTTCCTGGCCCCGGTGGCCTTCAGAAACATTGGCAAAAGCTTCATTTACTCTAAAGGAATTTAAATTCAGAACATGGCTGTTCTGGTAAGAGATCACATCCAAAGGCCTTCTAGGTCTGTGTGATCTGGCTGTCAAGAGATCACATTCAAAGATCTTTTAGGTTTGTGCAATCCGGCTAGAATACAAACATGCCTTTAATTCAGAAGACAGGGGCAAGCAGATCTGAGTTCAAGGCCAGCCTGGTATAGAGGTTTCAAATAAAGAAAAGTCTTGGTCCAGGAATGGTGGTACACGCCTTTAAACCCAAACAATGAGGATAAGGATAGTTTTTAGAAGGAAACACCCATGTTTGAAAGTGATGTTTAATTGAGTGGCAGAAAAACTGATTAATCAGAGAGAGATTTGACAGAATAGGATACTCACAGTTACTGATTAATCAGAGAGAGATTTGACAGAATAGGATACTTCCAGTTCTCAGGAAAAGACAGAGGAAACGGAAACTACTTAATGGGTAATGCAGAGAGCAAAAGGCAGGTTTTACAAGGACAGTGACAGAGATAGACTGCAGAGAGACAACTCAGGTGAAGACAAAGAGAGCCAGAGAAAAAGAAAGAGCCAGAAGATTAGAAAGGATTGCTGGAGTTAATTTGAGGGCAAGCAGAGCAATTCAGGGGCCAAGAGTGAAGCCAGATTAAATAAATCAGCTGGGAAAGGAGTTTGAGCCAGAACAGCTGAGTTGAACCAGCCAGTCCAGAGCTCAGTAAGCACAAAGAAGGGTGAGCTTATTTAGCATCATGTCTCAGAGGCTGAAAACATTCTAGGCCTAAATTAGATTGTATGGAAGCTAGAAGCTTCCAGGACGGGGCCTAGGTTAACAGACAGAGGCAGTAGGCCTCCGAGACAATTGAAGCAGTCGAATAAAAGTTCACTTTACAATTGATTTTCTTTTCCTGCATCTCCCATGCCTATACAACTACTAAAACATAGTGCTGCAAGTCTCAGCCAGCTCAGGATGAAGCCTTGCTCTCTGAAGACAGCTGTACCAGCTTTTGTATTCTGACCCCAGGGAAACACACCGACAGCTGTTTCTGAGAAGGCTTTAGCAGCATTCTATGGTCTTAGAAGTGAATTTCCTTTTTCACAAGATGGATCCTACTGTGAGTAGAGTCTCACCTTCAGGTCACCTTTTCTCTTGTCAGTGTACAGAGCGCAAGATTTATCTTTAATGGTGCCAGTATTGAATGATTATACTTGCCCTATCAGCAAAAGCCTTGCATATAACTGAAAGCTCACACTTCCCCACAAACTGGACATTTTTCATACCTTTCTGTTCCACTTGTTCTATGACTGTAGATCTGGATAATAACAATACGTAATAACTATAACACAGTATGAATACCTACACAATTTTGACATTTCCCCCAAATAATTCAGTATATTACTTTCAAAGTCAGCTGTTCTGAAGTTCTCAGGACATAGGCAGCCTGAATTCAGTTAACTTCCTTGCCAGAATATGGCATACATTATCTCTAGCCCAACTTCCAATAGAATCCGTGTTTCCCTCTAAAACCTCAGGAGTAGGTCCTCCACTGCAGACATTTCTTTCAGCATTCTGGTTTTCTGAGCTCCCACCAGGACAGCCAGTAAAGGTCTGTTTACAGTATTAGCACCTTTTTCAAGTTCCATTCCAAACCCTTCCACATTCCTCCCACAGACCTGTTCCGAAGGCCAACAGCCATATGGTCAGGCCTTATTTCTCCACAATAAATCTCTGTATCAGGTACTTTTCTCACTATCGCGAACAAATACCTGAGAAGAGCCAGCTAGGGGAGAAGGGTTGCTTTCGTTTTTAGCAGTGAGTACAGTCCACTACAGAAGGGAAAGTGTGGTGGCAGGCCCG